TAACTGCAGCCCCTCCCTCACCGTGGGGGCCTCAATCTGCTCCCCCATGCACTTATCTTCAGGCAGATGGGGGAGCTACTCTGCACTGATGCTTGGGGCTGTATCCATGGCCACATGCACGTGTGTGAGTGCACACATGCAGGTGGCTCCCCCTGTGTCTCACTCCCCACAGACCCTTCCAGGCTGAAACTCTGCCAGTCTGCAAGGGGAAACCTGCCATTTCCTGCATTTTTCTGCAGTGAACAGAAAACCCAGATTCCTGCATGATACTGAGAATCCAGGACAAATGCTGTCCTGGAATCATGCAGCCCAGGCTTGGGACTTGATATTCCAGTTTCAGGACTGTCCCATTCAATTAGAGATGCCTCTTTCTGAGAGGAGGCCAGGGACCTCGGACCCCTGTGTAGTACCTAGGGGTCAGGCCCCTCTCAGCTTTGCCATCTGCCCCTGGCATGCCGACATTTTATCAGCTGAGGTTGCAGGTGTTTTTGGCACTGTGCCAAAAACATTGCCAACTCCTGTCTTAGCTGTTTAATGTGCTGAATTTGGGGGTCTTGAGTAAACTCCTTCTCATCATGTTGAAACATCTGGTGTTTAATACTGAAACTATGGTAACAAGGATTTTTAATGAATCTGTCAATTAGGGTGGTACCCAATCAGTGAAAAATAACAAATGTAAACAAGTTCAATTTGATCTCAGTATTGTGGAAGGTCTTAGATTTTGAAGGAAGGAATAACCAAAGACCAGCTAGTAAACAGAATATGGGATAAAATACAGTGTGGTTTTATCCAAAAAAGATCATATCAGTCCAATTTAATATTTTTCTATAATGGGGATTAGATGAAAGCCATGCAGGGGACCTAATCTATCTTGATTTAAACTAAAATGGAGAAGGTGGGGAACAAGATTACAACAGTAAAGTGGAGAAGGAGATGACTGAAGGGAAAACTGGAATAACAGAAAATTAGTTCTGGAAGAGCTGGAATAGCTGGAGATTACCTTGTCCAACTCCGTGTTTGAGGCAGGGGCATCCCTATATGACCATTCCAACCATATATGTGTCTAACTTGTCCTTAAAAACAAGGATAGAAATTCCATAACCTCTCTGGATAATCTGTTCCAAAGCTTGACCAACCTCATAGTTAGAAAGTTCCTCCTAATATCCAACCTTAATCTCCCTTATTGCAATTGAAACAATTTTACTGTTCCCTGAGACCACAGACCATATTCTATTACCATCGTCTTTATAAGCACCCTTCAGGTATTTGAAGACTGTTATCAAATGCATCCTCAGTCTTCTCTTCCTCAGACTACATTATTGCAACTCATCCAACATTTTCTAATAAGAAAATGATTATAAGGGGTGATAATCAGGCAAGGAGAAGAGCTAGCTAAATTAAAAGATGATACTGGTACAGTAAAAAGATGAAATGGGTACAAAGAAGTTGTGAATAAATTTAGATTGGGAACTTGAAAAGATTTTCTAACCATCAGAGGAATTAAGTTCTTGAATGGTTTTCTAAACAAACTAGTATGGACAAACAACCTGATAGAGCTTGATAAATCTGACAGGGTAGAAGAGTTGGAGTAATTAGGTCATGTGAGGCTTTGGATGTTTGATGCCCCCATAAAAGGCTTGATAAGAACAAAATATTTTGTTCCTATCACTACATGGGTCACTTGGATATATCAGAAATGAATGGTAGTGTAGCACTTCTTGACTTCATGGATAAGACAGGCAGGATTTGGATGCAGATGTCAAAGCTACAAAAGGTTGTCTCAGGGTAACAAGCAATTTCTTGGTGCTAAAGAAGGCTGACTACTCAAGTGATTTGCACAGTGGAAAGAACCTATGGTCCTTGAGATCAGTTAAATTTTGAGGATGTGCTTTTGCTTAGGTTACAAGGTTTTCAACAATTGCATATAGGCAAATAAAAAAAAAAGAGATTGGGCTGGGTATTGTTATCATCTTCGGGAATTTAGTTGCCTTCCCTGTTCATTCTTCTGTCTCTTGAACTTTTAATATGCTTATTCTTGTTACACTATATTTTATTGTGTTAATTCAGTGCTTCAGTGTTTCTGCTTCTTCCTTTTCAGAGGCCAGGAAGCTTTTATCCTCCTTGAAAGTAATACTTGACCTCTGGGTTTTTTTGTTGGTTCCCCCCACTCCCCATTCTGGGCCATCTCTCCTAACCATTCTTTTATAGGTACAGTAGCAGAATGGTTACATGAGATCAGAGTTTTAGGCTTGCTCCAGACCTGTACAAAGATTTTGGTCATGATTACATTACTCCCTCATGTGCCACTGACTACAGAACTAACACACCTTAATCATGAGCCCAACTAGGCATAATTAGACTTTGGTGCCTCCCTTCCCCCCATCTCTTTTTTTTTTTGAGCAAACCTGTCCTCCAAAGTGCTTGCAATAATTCCTACCATCCATAAATTTTAGAATTCTATCATGAATATTGATTGGGACCAGACACAGGATAGAGTCCTGTAAAAGCCCCCTTGAGGTGTTCTCCCCTGGTAATCCCTGACTATAGTTTCCAGTGAGCTGTGCATCAATTCACGAGCAGTAGCATAATTAGGAGTTGGAAAGATGGGCACTGGACCTGGCACCAAGCTAGGAGGAGTGCTGGAATCATCCCTCAACCCTGCAGAGTCTTGTGCTCCATCAGCAAGAGCATTCCCATGGACTGTTTTCGATTTCTAGGATGGGTAAGCCGTCTGCTGATGCTGATTTAAGAGCAACAGCCAGGGTGGGCAGAGCTTATGGGGCAGCTCAGCCAGGAACTGTTTAGGACATCCCAGCATGGGTAAAATGTGTACATTTGTTCTCCCATGGCCTTCCCTATTTGGAACCCATGCACCACCCCCTCCCCCAACTCTTGGAACCTGTGTACAACCCCTGTACTTGGAACCTGCATGAACCCTGTGCTCTTGGATCCCTGCTCTCACAACCTGTGCACACCTCCAACTCTTCGTATCACGTCCCCCCTGCTCCCCTGCATAGTTTGCCTAGGGTACCAGCTCTGCTTGTTAAACCTTTGCTCATAAGAATTTCATTGACAGACTATTTCTTTAGTTTGCCTGTGAGAATTTCATGGGGTGCAGTGTTGAAAGCTGGACTAATATACCACAGCTACTGATTCCTATTTTCCACTAAGCTAGTTTTTAGAAATGTATTTGCTTAGTCCAGGTTCAGTCAAAAAGTACATAGTATATGATTCATTAAATTATTTGTGTGTTTTAACTGAAATTTCCTAACAGGTGAAAGGCCTGAGATTTTCAAAGCCATTTTAAATATTCAAATTAAGAATAGCTTGAAATTTTCAGTTAAATATTATATTTATGTTCTAGGCTTTTCCACACAGCTTTTATAATTTCAAGAATTTAATTCTGGCCTGATCTCATGCTTTGTTTCCTTCACTATTAGTTTTAAGGATGTGATTCAATGTTTAATGGATAAGAACTTGCCATGAGTGATTTGATTTCCTTGATGGGTCACCAAAATAGTGGGCATGATCACTGGAAACATAATCTGCTGGAATGTGATATAAATTTAGGACACAAACAGGCGAAATTCTCTAGAGAGTGATTTCTACTTGGTTGGAGGTGTATTGCTTTTCTACTGGAACAGCCATTATTTGTTCTAGGAGAAACTGTGTGAATATCTCTACACACATGGTTTCTACTGGCAGAGCTTTGATTCTCCCAGCATGGATATACCATGTGTACATAGCCTTAGTGCTTCAAGTCAACCAGAAGCAGAAGTTAACATGTTGTTTCTTGTGAAGTTTGGTATTTTCATTGCTTGGTGGTGAATCACTAGATTTGGGGTTTTTAAAGGCAAACAGGCATAAAAAAGAGTCCAACCTTGATGACTGCTCAGATGAGTATTTTGTATAATAGATACATATGCCCACATTCTCCATTAGTGTGAATCTTACATAATTGTTTAGAACAAGATCTGCAAAGTTATTCAGGGAGTTATCATGCATTGATTACAATAGAAAATAGGTGCAAAAATATAAGTTAAGCACCTAATCATAAATTAGGCATGATACATTCAGGATCTGAGCCTTAGAGATTAATTCAGCAAAGTATTTAACCATGTGGAAATGTCCCTTTAATTCAGTGAAGTACTGAAGCCAGTGGGACTTGAAAGCATGCTGAAGCACTTTTCTGAATCAATGTCTTCACAAAATACTTCTGATAAAGGTTTCAAAACATTGGGGAACAAACCCATTGAATGTAATGACTTTTCTGGGAAGAATTATTTTCTCAAAGATTGCCATAGTCAGGCCCTATATCCTCTAGATTCTATATAAATATCAATAAAGTTGGTCAGGTGAGATGGCTGTGTAAGAGTGATATAGCCAGGATGGTCCAGAAATTATGCGAGAGGAAAGGATTTCTTAGGGTGATAGCTTTTATTTGACTAAATGTATAGCTGAGATAGAATTAGACAAGCTTTTCTATGCAAGACATTATTCACCAGGTCAGACCTGAATGCAGTGTTTTGTAATCAAAAGCTTCCTTAACTCTATCTCAACTATACAGTTGGTCTAATAAGATAACATCCTAAGAAATCCTTGTCCCTCAGCTGATGTACGAATTGTTGGGCATCATAAATTGCTGAATATTGATTTTAAGGAAGTTATTCCAAACAAGGAGTATTCATAAATAGAATAGTTTATCACAGTTGTACATGCAAAGCAGAAATAAATATCTTCTAGTGCTCTCCAAAATCTATCATTTAACACATCACCTCCCTAGTGCTTAAACTCACTGTCCAGTTATATACCAATTGCCAATTAATTTAGCATAGTGCTATGTTTATGAAGACATAGGCAAAGTGTGATGCAGTCATTTCTTACATTTAGAACTTATTTCCAAGTAAGAAAACAAATCATTTGACTGGATACTTTTACCTTAAGAAAGATAACATAGCATTTCATGTAATGTATAATATAACCTTTATTTTTTTTTCTCTAAACTCTTGGAAACTTACATAACAACCGTGCTTTAAGTATGACACCATTTATAGACATTTAAAATGCATCTTAATTTATAAATATTTTACATTTGGTCCATAGAACAATTTTCAATTTACTAAATAATACTGTACTCTTTTAAACAGGCTCTGTATATATTTTAGAATATGTATATATTACATATATTTTTTTATATAGAGATAGATTTGCTTGGTGTTCAGATAATAATTCCTTATTGCAAAAAGCATATATGATCATACAATATTTTTTTTCTTCTTTAGGGTAGATACTACAAAAAGATACAGCTATTCACAGTTTACACACAGTAGTTCTACAACACTATTTTGTGCTATATATGATAAGTTTGTACAGATTTTTGCTAAACAGCAGGTCTGCCAAACATATGCCATAATTGTTTACAATCAAACATTAAATACTGCATTTTTCTTAGAACAACATGGGACTTGATTACATTAAACAATAAAGAGAAAGTTGAAGGTTTTTATCCTTAGTCTAATGAAATTCACAATTATAATGTGGATGTATTATATGTGATACATACGACGTATGTTTATTTTTTCTACCCCCTGATAGCTTACAAGACTTTGCATTTATCTATAGACATTTAGAGTGTATCTTAGATTTCAAAATATTTTACAGCTGATCTACTGTATGAAACAGGTTAAGAGCTACCAAACAATACTCGTTTATGAGATTTCATTACTTAGGTTGAACTATGTGTGTGTGTGTGTATTTACTACAATAATGTACTTGACATTCTGAGAATAATACCTTATTGCAAGAACATATGTTGGTCACCTTCAGACAAAAACAACAAAAGACCCAACATTCACAGCTATTTTTTCACATAATTCTACATAATCTGTGTGCTATCTAATATTGTAGGTTGCACAAAAGTTTGCTGAAAAGCAGGTTTCATTGCACAGTTCTGTCACAGTCATTTACAATCAAACATCAAATACTGCATTTTCCATGCCCCTTGTTGTCTTATAGCTGCCAAACAAGAAATGTGATAGAGGGCCTGATCTTACATTGTCTACACAGGAAGAACTTCCATTATCTTCATTGGGAGTTCTTAGTTGTAGAGGAAATGCCTAAAAGAGTCTATACTGGAGTTTTTATATTATAGAAATAGCTTTCTCTCATACCTTCACCACTATAAATAATGTATATGTAAATAAAAATCCTAAAAATAAAACTGTCTTCAAAATGCTAGAAAAAGTTTAAGATTTATAATTTGCTTGTTAAATACAAACCAAGTTTAAAGTCCCTTAAGAGACTGAATAATCCATGGTTTAGAGCACTAAATTAGAATTTTTGGAGTATGGTCCATATTTAAAACACTGTTTGATTTCTGTTATGGTGGCAGTGTAAAATAGTTGTTAATGACAAAGTATAAACAGAAGCAATGGCTGGTTGAGATTGAGAATACAAAAAAAATGTACTGCTTTTATCTGGGAATGTTAGTAAGAGCTCTAGAGAGTTTGATATTCTCACATATTTTCCTAAAAAATGTCAAAATGAAACATTTTGCCTCTATAACATGCATCTGAAATTCATAGAGTATTAACGCATGGCAAATTAAAATAAAATACTGCTTTTAAAAGATAAAGTATATTTCACTATCAATAAAAGGATGAAAATATAATAGCTTTTACTAGTATGAATTTTAAGGGCAAACTTCTTACTAGAAATCATATGCATACAAAATACTTTATTCTTGTATATGAAACAACTTTCAAATGTAATTGTACTCCTGCAAAGTCAGAAATAACAGTCTAGGGATTTGGCAATAAGAAATATTGATTAACTAGTAAAAGTCAGCAGCACAAAACCTCAAATCGTCGTGCTAAAAGGTAGATTAAAAATGTCTTACATGTCAATTTACAAATTGCAAGAATTCAACTCTTATTGTGAAAGGATAAAAATATTAACAGTCTGTGGATTGCCAAAAAACACAAAACACTGTTAACATCTGAGCCCACAAAACAGTTTGGTCATACCCACAATGATTTCCTTATAGTGGAGATGGTCTTATTGTTTTGTTTTGTTTTTGTTTTTTTGTTTGGCACTAGAGGTAGGTGATTATATTCTCAGACATAAAGTTGCGGTCATATTCAACCTATTTTTGTTTTCCTTTTTTCCAGAATGCCATTTGTACCTTTCCAATACCAAAATTTAAATATATGCTTCTTTGTTGGCAGAGTTGCTTTGCTGGGCTTGTTCTGGCTCACTTTCAGGATGAATTATGTCTTCACTTGGCTGAATCATTACTTGGATACGCTATTTTAAAAAGAATGAAATAAGATTACTGGATACATTTTTCATTGAAGTCAAATCTATCATATTCCTTCCCTTATAAGATAACCTTGAATTCAAGATGCACTCCCATTTTCTCTTAATTTAAGAAAAAAATAGGACAGCAAATAGAGAGACAGTGGGTGTATCTACATGAGACATTTACTGTGGAGTAGACTAATAAGCTCCACGCTAAACATTGCACATCCACACTTGTGCCCCTATTAGGCTGGAGTAAACTAATTAACTCTGCAGCAGGATAGCAGGCCTGTGAGAAGCAGCTAGTATTCACTTTGGATTTGGCCGATTTGGGGAACAGTGATTCAATTTGGTGATTCATATCACTGTCCTGAATCAATTCGGCCAGATCTAATTCAGATATTTGGCTGCTGCTGAATCAGCTGAATCTCTGAATCACACAGGCCCCATCCCCTGCCTGCTCTCCCAGCCCTGGCAATGGCTGCCCCACCTGTCCCAGCTTCTAGCTCTTTGGGAAAAAAAAAAACCCCCTCCCCAGGAGCTGCCCGGTGGGAGGGGGGGGTCCCTGCTGCCCCCCACTGCCCCACATCATGTGGGGGGCTCTGCCACAAGCCCCCCAAGCCTCACCCGCTCTCCCAGCCCTTCCACCCCATGGCTGCCCTGACCACTCCAGCTCTGGCCCTTTAAAAATAAAACAAAACAAAAAAACCCCCCAGACTCGCTGGCTCCTGCTCAGCAGGGGCGCGATCCCCACTGCCCCCCCAACTGCCGCACACTATGTGGGGGGCTGTGCACAAGCCCCCAGAAGCCCTGAAGCTGCTTCAGTAGCCAGTGAGTCTGGGTTTTGAGGGTTTTTTTC